TGATTTTCAAGTAAAAATTTTTTGTTTAATTTCAATAATAAATGATCAAAAATCGTGTTTTTTTCTATCTAGGTTGTTCGCAATAAAAATCCTAAACCACGTACAAATCAACAGTCATCATCACGTCCAATGAGTGGTAATCAATCCGTTCGTGGTCGTAATAATGGAAATTATCACCGTGGTGGAGGAGCACCACAAATGTCAGGTGAACGCGGTTATTACAATCAATTTTCACCTCAATATTCTAATCAAGCGCAACAATTTTATCATCATCAACAAGCACCTCCTCCTCCGCTTCACATGGGTTTGTCGTATCATGTGAATAACAATAATAACAATACGAATACTAATCGACAGCGATTAAATTCCAATCGGTCAAATAATAGTCGAAGTTATCCTGATAATAGTGGACGTATCCGAAAGGGAAATAGTGAAACTTTACCGGATGTTGATAATAGTTCTGTAGCAGCTGGTAAATTTCTCATTTCTTTTTTTCTTTTTAAATCTATTTTAATTATATATATATAGAAAATCGGCCACGTTTACAATTATTACCTCGTTCACAAAAACTTTCATCATCAACCGATGATAATCCAACACCAGAACCAGGCGCAAGAAATTCAAATATTTTTGGTGTTGGTAAATATAATATTATTTTAATTATATCAACAAATTCTATATAAGATATGTATATATTTAGGTAAACCACGTGATGAGCGTGATCCAAAAATTGCTGAATTAGAAAAACATATTGAGGAAGTTGTTGAAAAAGAACAACATGTTCCTCGAACTAAATCAACTGCATCTAATGAATCGACAGATGGTGTCATCAAGTATGTTTTATTATTATACACCTAATTATATACCATGTTAAAATATTATCATAGATTTTCTTTCGAGTTTGTTTAATAATTTCTATAGATTTGATCGTTGATGAGTTGAAAATATTTTGTTCGTAATTGAAAGAACTTACTATTTTACTTTTTTCCAATAGTTATTCCGAAAAATACTGAAATTCTTTACAAGCGAAAAATATATCAAATTGATTACAGTCAGATTTTAAAGATGGATACGGTTTAATTATTGATATAAACAGAAGAAGTGTTGTTACGAATTAATGTTTATACTTTTAGTGTAATAGAAACCTAAAATGATGATGTTTGAGCTTCAATGGATGACATTGAAATATACTTTCCGACTAGAGATGTGCGGGACCAACCTTTTTAGGTCCCGGTCATAGTCCGGGTAAATATTTTTATTTGTTCCCGGTCTCGGTAACCGGGACTGAGGCTGTTATCAAAACTGGTCCCACTCATCTCTAATATGGTCCTAGAGACAATTAATCCAAAATTATTCATAGAATTTCTGAAGTTATTCTTCAATACTCGTTTTTCAATTTGTTTAGTCAACGATTAGCACTTTTTGGTTCATTTTTCTTGAATAAGGTCATTATATAGCCCCGGATTCAAATGTAGGTCCCGGTTCCGGTCACGCACATCTCTATTCCCGACAAAAGAGTAGATTGTTAGAATATCTAGGTTATTTTTAATGAGAGAATTCGTAAAATAGTATCGCTTGTATTCTCATACATTGCTTCAATGATATTGTCACTTTTAAACTAAATATCATATTCGGGAAATAAGTTTTCACTTCAAACATAATTGTTTTACAAACACTTCTTCATATCCGAGTAACTGTTCGATTTCATACTGGAAAAAAGAGTATAAATCTACATCGTTTTATGATATTAAAAAAAGAATTCTAATGTAATTATATAATCTACTCTTGTTTTTGCATAGTAAGTTCAATCAAAAAGGAATAGATATTACTAAATGTAGTCTAATATTGAAGTAATACCTCTTATGAAGATATCTTTACATACTCATCTATTTATTCTTTAAGAAAAATGATAAAAATAGATTTATAATTAATTTACAAGTATACTTCATTCATGTCTAAGTATTTTAAGAAAATATTACTCTTATAAATGTTTAAATTTTTGATCTTCTTTCTATTTTGTTATTCAAATAAGACTTAAAATTTCTTTTTCTAGGCCGGTGCGAATTTTAACGGCAGCAACTGCATCGATAGTTGATCATTAAACTAAATATATTACAAAAAAAAAAACATTGTCTTTTGTTTTTGTCTTTTCTATTTTTATCCGTTTTGTTGTGTAATTTCATTGATATGCATGCGCACATATTTATTTTAAAAATGTGTTGCTGCGATTAACTATTCATTTTCTTCGTTTTGTTTATTTATCTTTCTGAAAAAAAAACACCTACATATACAATTTATTGCATTGTTTATTTCCGTTTCTTTTTTTTCTTTTCTTAGATTACTGGTAAGAAAGAATAAGAAAATTAAGTTCCTAGAGTTTTCATTGTATGTGAATGTTAAGAAAATCATGTTCTTCTTCTTTCGTTTGTTTTCTTTTCTTTTTTTTTGTTGTTGTTTTTGTTGTTGTTGCTGTTGTTGTGGTGGTGTATTTGACTTCCTTTGCACAGACCGTATTGTACAGTTCTTTTGAGAAAAAAAAAATAAAACATATATAACCCTTTTTGTCGGTTAAAAAATATACATTCTCTTTTTCTTGTATTTAGAGAAAATTTCTTTATCCGATGGCATCGACTTTGATTTCATCAAAAGCAAACTCTGGTAAATCATCCAGTAATAGTATAACATCAAATGAAACCCCTATTACGGAAGAAGAATTAAGAAAAAAAGAAACACCAATTACAATCAGTGATATTCTTAAATTACGAAAAGCTACAAATAGTAAATAATGGGTTGAGAAAAAAAAGCAAAGTTTTTTATTATGTTTTTTATTGTAGATTATTTAACAGAAACAGATAGAAATGTATATAAAATTGATTTTGTTCATTTTCGAATTCGTGATATGAAAACAAATAAGGTACTTTTTGAAGTCGAACGAGGACAAGGTATGATAAATTTTTCTTCTATTATATTTTTTTGTATTTTAATTTCAAAATTAGTAGATGAAGGTGATCCAGATAATGATCAAGAACTTGAGGTTGGTCGTTTTGTACAATATCATTTTCCATCATCATTCCTCAAACTTAAGCAAGTCGGCGCTCTGTAAGTCCAAATTATACTGAGTTTTCTTTGATAGCTACTCTACAGTTCGAGGTGAAATGGATGAGAATACTATATAGATATAAAGTTAGGAGTTAAAACAAGAGAAAAATATGTTCAATATGAAAGTAAAAGTAATTGATATCTGTTTTATTATAAAATAATATCCTTCTTTGCTTGTATTGATGAATAAATTTTTCATTTTGTTCAATTTAGAGTCGATTTTACAGTAGGTGATCGTGAAGTACAATCATTTCGAATGATTGAACGTCATTATTTTCGTGATCAATTAATCAAATCATTTGATTTTGATTTTGGTTTTTGTCCACCAAATACAAGAAATTCAATTGAACATATTTATGAAATGCCAGAATTCACTGCCAAACAAGGTAATTATTTAAATGCATTATTTTTCATTCAATAAAAAAAAACTTTTCTTTCTTCTAGTTAAAGAAATGGTTGAATATCCAAATGAAACCAAGTCAGATAGTTTTTATTTTGTCGACAATCAGTTAATCATGCATAAAAAAGCCGCATATGTATTTGATCTTGAACATTCGCATTAAATTCAGATTTATATTTTTCAAAAAAAAACATTTTTTTCATTGCTTTCAATGTTTGCTTAATGTAATAATGTTTTACACATTTATTTTATTTTCTTTTTCTTTTTCTGTGTAATCACAAAAAATATTTTATTTCGTTTCAATTTCACTTCATTTACTTATTTTTTCTTTTTGATAAAAACGAAAAGAATGAGATAATGATGATGATGAATCAATACGATTGTTTAAATAAAGCTCAATTAAGCTTTGAATATTTGCATACAAATTCAACTACACATACATTTCTTTTTGGTGCATTAGCTGAATTAGTTGATAATTCAAGAGATGCTGGCGCAACAAATCTTGATATTTATACACGAAAAGATCCATCTTTACGTGGAGGATTTTATTTGGCATTTTTGGATGATGGTTGTGGAATGCATTACGGTACGTTTCATCAAATAAACAAGTGATATTTATACGGATGAAATACTGAAATAATTTTTATTCAAAATGACATATGTATATGTTTTTAGACGATGTGTTCAATGTAATTGTTTTTGGTAAATCTGGAAAACGACATACGCTTGATTCTAATCAAATTGGTCAATATGGTAATGGTTTGAAATCCGGTGCTATGCGTATATCAAATGATTTTATATTATTTACAAAAAAAGATAATATTGGTACATGTTTATTTCTTTCACGTACATTTCATCAAGAAGAACATATAACTCAAATAATGTGTCCAATGCCTTGTTTTGATTTAATCACTCAACAACCAATTGAAAATACTGATAATGAACAAATAAATGGTACACGTACATATACGTATGATAAAACTAAACATGAACTTGAAATGTATTTAATCACAAAATATTCTCCATTTAAAACAATTGATGATTTATTTAAACAATTTAATTTAATTACATCTTCAAGTGGAACATTAATTGTTCTATATAATGTGAAATTATCTGATACCGGTGAAGCAGAACTTAATATAAAAACAGATCCATATGATATGTTAATTGATTCAAAAAATCGAAGAAATCTATTTGATGATAATGATGATAGGTAAATTGAATAGAAATCGCTCGTTGCATATTTCTTTTTCAAAACATATTCTACATAACAAACAAATATGAAATATATTTCAATTCGAATGACTATATCAGGCATTTGGTCGATATTACCCCCGAATAAGTACCAGCCGGGTTCATTTTTGACTCCGCTAGTGATAAATGTAACAATATGATAAAATTTTGAATTATTTCGTAATTTTGAAGGACAAGTGTGGGGCGAATTTAACTATGTAGTGTGGAGTGTAGGATGTGTGTGAGCGATGACAACAGCGAATCTAAAGCGATAGCGATGGAAGGATAAGAAATGAACCTCAATTTTCCGATTAGAGCATTGTTTTCTAATGGAACACGCAATTACATTAAAATTCATCGGCAGGGTTCATTCGGAGTTACATAAAGCTGAGGGCGGCACTACTAGGGTAGACTCATTATTTGGAATCTACATATGATCTATGACATACGCTGTAGCATCACTCTATTTAAAATCAACTTAATATTCGAAACAACATGTCAGATACATTAACTAAAGACAAAACTATAGTTAAGCTCTTAAAAACACCTATCACATATATTTCGACTATACCGAAATCTGGATTTTTCATTTTGTATGATTACATTTTCGAAGAAAAATACTGAACAAGATCTGTTTCTAAGATAATACAAAGGAGCATGACTTTTTCGTTAGACTAAAAATCATTGTCGAAAACTCACCCAAACTTATTACATTGTATTCATCTATGTCATACATTTTCTCCATGTATTAGTTTTATACTTTTAGTATACCACCTGAATATCGTTCATTTCGTGCATATGTTTCAATTCTTTATTGTGAACCACGTATGCGTATAACAATTCAACAACGACGTGTTATAACAAAAAGATTACCACATACATTATATAAACCTCGTCAATATCAATTTAAATCTACACGTTTTAAAACACGTTCCGAACAAGAAATAAAAAAGTGTGAACAAGAACTTGAATCATTAGATGAACGTATACGTGAAGCTGATTCGCAAGTTCATGATATACAACAACGATTGGGTATAACATATACAATTGATGAACGTACACGCTTAAGAAAATTACAGATTCATGCAGCTGATTTAAAAGATATTGCAAATCGTTTACGTACTGGACTTTTAAGGAAAAAATCGGAATTAAATACAACAAAAATTTTAACATTTACATTCGGATTAAATATACAAAATCGTGCAGCTGATGGAGTTTTCGTTTATAATTGTGGACGACTTATTAAAATGTATGAAAAAATTGGACAACCAAATAAAAAAACTTTGTAAACTTTATTTATTTAATTATTTAATAAATTCATTTAATTCTTGTTTTGATAGATATTGCCGTGGTGTTATTGGTATTGTTGATGTTCCTTCAATAGTACTTGAACCTACACATAATAAACAATCATTTGCTGATGAAAAAGAATATCATTTTTTACTTAAAAATATAGGAGAATATATGCGACAATATTGGACTGATACTGGCGTGGAACATTATATTAAAGAATTTTGGGAAACTTATGGTAAATTAGATTTTTATTAATATTGAATATTTTTATTTGATATTTTAAAGGTTATCGAGATGATCAACTTGATCGACCACCATCCAATGATTCTGAAGCAATTAAACGTCGCCAAGTAGCTGTCCCTATGCTTATTCAATGTAATAAATGTTTAAAATGGCGACGTTTACCTTATTCTACTAATACAATGCCATTAACACAAGCACAACTTGAATCATGGCAATGTTCTAATAATACTGATATTCTTAATAATTCGTATGTATTCTAAAAATAGATTTGGATTTAATCATAATAAGAAATAATTTTTTCAGATGTTTATTAAATGAAAAACTTGAAGGTATACCAGAAGGTGAACTAAAACAAAAGTCTCAAGAAATAAATAATCAAAGTCGTGTATTATCACGAGCACCTTCACCATTAACTCGATCTTCAACAAATAATAAACGTATATCAAATGCTGAAATTTCATCAACAACATTGAATGCTGTAAATAGATACTTTAAATGTATATCTATGTATATAATGTTTCTTGATCATCTTTAGACTTCAAAACTATCGACTCATTTAAGTAATGCTTCATCGTCATCATCATCATCAACAACAAATTCTCAAAAACGCTCTATTTCGACATCTCGTTCATTATCAACAAAAGCAAAACCGAAAAAGAAAATAAAACGACGTATTATAAAAACTCATGATACTACTAATGACGATGATGACGACGACGACGAAGAAGAAGAAACTTCCTTATTAACTACTGAACAAGTATGTCTTCAAAGATTGATATACATTTAAATAAGAAAATAAATCATCAATAGGGATATTAAGAAAAATTTGGATTCTACATACACTCATAGTTTAATTCAGATATACTACTGACCATAAGACTCACGACTTCGACTGAGATGGTTTTAAGTTAGATACATAAAGCGTTACCACACTGGAATAGCCTATTGTTCGTTATGTAAACTTCATTGAAAAGATTTTAATGGATAATATTCTTTTCTAGACATCACGTTCAAATAATCAACAAACATCATTATTAGATTCTGTCACATCAACCAATTATGTACAAATACTTGATGATGATAACGATACTGAAAATATTGATCAGTCAGAAATAATTACAGTTGGTCCTCTTCCACCTCCAACAATAGGTGCACGTGTATCAGCAATGTATCAAGGTGCTCGACGTCCTGGTCAAGTTATAAATGTAAATGATAAACGTGGCATATTTAAAATGCGTTTTGATGAATTTCCATCACCTGAATTCGATTATTCATTCAGTTATAAATCATCAGCATGGTCTTATGTGGGTACTCCACCACCATCAACAACAACGAGATCATCGATTGATGAAACGAATACAAATGAAAATGAACCTTTATTTACTATTGCAAAGAAATTTAAAGCTTTAATTAAAGTAAATTTATTTAAATAACTAATTTTGTTTTTCTTACTATCAAATATTATTTAGTTTATGTTACCACCTGATTGGGAATTAACACGTGAACAAGTAACATCAATGAATTATGATGATCTTAGTCGATTTGATGTAGGAGTTTTTATGCAATCTTATCGAGAAAAAATGACAAAAGTAAATCTGAAATTTTTTCTATAATTCATTAATCGATTGTGTTTTTAGATTGTTGAACAACGGAAAGCTGATGAAGCACATTGGCGTACATTAGCTCAACGTTTACAAACCGAAGTAACCGAACTACTTAATCTTTCTGGAAAGGTTTGTAAAAATCGATTTTAACCATTTTCTTTTTGTAATATCAATTCTATTTATAATTTTAGTCAATTCCAATTGATTGTTCCATGGAAGATTTCGAACAACGTATTCAAAATTATAGTACACAAGTTGAAAAACCACATTAATCTCATATATTATATTTTTTTTTAAATAGTTTTCTACATATTTTGTATATAGTCTTTGATTGAAGATAGGAAAATACCCCAAAGAAGAACCTTTTTTTTTGTTCTTCTTTGTTTTTTTCATGTTATTTACGTTTAGTGTTTTTGTTTTTGTGATATTGAAGTGCAACGAAAAGCAATATGATTCCAATATTGGAAAAGAACAGTTAGATGAAACCAAAAAACGATATTAAATTTAAAATATGTTTATGAGTATATTTCATTGTTACTGTTGTCTTTCATTTTGTTTATGTTATTTTTTTCATACTATTCGAACAGATTGAATCTGAATAAAAAAAAAGTGAAAAATTCAATTTTTCTCGAAAAAATCATGAAGAATTAATTCTATGAAGGCTTCGATTTCGAGATGAAACTATAGTAGAAATGTCCATAGATATTTCATAGTGATTCAAAGCTGGATTCGTTACTATAATGTAATAGACTCTGAATTATTTTTTGAGGAAGTTTTGAATCTTAAACGTATTACGTCGTTTGATATGACATATGAAACTGATAATCATAACCTTGAATTTACATCAATTCGTTATTGTAAACATCGTAATTTGAGTCATTTACATAGATCTAATGATGTGAATAACAACAGACAGTTTGTATATCATATTTCAAAAGCTTCCATAAAAGAAAATCAATCAGTATTATTCTATCAGTTCTTTTTAACATGGTCACATTCACAAATCAAAAAGTTACTATTGATTTACTCATTGCTATTATAGCGACACTTATTTTAAGTACAACTATTTTAGCAATTTCAACAAATAATTGGAATGTTAAATATGAAAATTCAATTACAAATCGAACAGGTTTATTTCAACAATGTTCAAATGCAGTGTGTTGTGATAGAAAAGAATTAGATCGATCGGTTACAATATTAGCTGTATTCTCTATTATATTCTTAACAATAAGTACACTTTCATCATTTATATTAATGACAACAACATTGGATTATAAAAATCAATGTTACATTCTTGTACCATTAACTTTCTTTGGTTCAGGCATTGCTATGACATTAACATTAATTCAAATACTTGATCGAATTGAACTTAATGGTTATTCAGCACTTGTGTTTATGGTTGATAGTGTTCTTTCGTATATTTTAGGTGGTATATCACTCTTGCATGCTAATATGTTCTATCTTTGAAATAATTTTTCATAGTAAAAATATGCATGTATGTGTAAATAAAATTACTATTGAGATCTTATTATTGAATACCTATAATTTCCAACTGTTTTCTTTCAATACATTTGAGGATGAATGTGAGTGTGAGATGAAGCCCACACCTTTTACGGAAAAACTTAAATGAAAATCCATATATTTTATTGAAAACAATTTTTTACGACTAATCAAGATTTACACTAAACTAAACATTCACTTATGGAAGTTTAAAAAAAAAGGCATAACACAGTTATAGTTTCTATCTAATTATTGGTATGTTTATTTGAAAACATCACATCATCTGAATATATTTACATCCATCAAACGTTAATTACAACCGTGAAATATTTTGAAAATCAAGTTGATATCGAGCTCGAGCTATTTCTTTCTCATCTTCTCCAATATATATTTTCATTAATTTACTATAACCATGATAAGTCCATGCACCAATCAATGCTCCAAATATAGGACCAATACATGGTATCCAAAAATAATAATTACCAACAGAAAATACTTCACGTCCATAACCAACACAAAAAGTAAATAATCGTGGACTAAGATCACGTGCTGGATTTATTGGAAAACCACAATTATAACCTTAAGAAGAAGAAAAAAACAGTTTTTTTTATTCATTAATAACTATTTTATCTACCAAATGAAACACCAATAGCAACAATAATAAATCCAACAGCAAGAGGAATTTGAGCATTTGCTACCAGTTTATTTCGTTTATTTGCTAATGAACAAAGAGCAATGAGTAATAGAGCTGTTGAAAGAACTTGATCAAAGAAAAGAGATACTTGATTAGTACCTTGTGCAGGTAATGTTCCAAATATTCCAGCAGTTGATTTATCACCACTTACCTAATATTTATCATTGTTAACAAATAACAAAAACCAAAAATATTTACCTGTCTTACACCCCCATCAAATTTATTAATTGCATCATAATACGTTCCAAATACTAATGCAGCGGCAATAAATGCTCCAATAAATTCTAAAACAAAAAAATCAATGTCCTAAATATACTGTTTATATATGCATACGTGATAGCATGTATGTAATACATTGTAATGGTGTAATTGAACGTAAACTTAACATGGCAATTGATACAGCTGGATTAAGATGTGCACCTGAAAAATGATAAGATATATTTAGATTGATTTGATTTGATGAAATATACCTGATATGGGACCAGCAACATAAACAGCAATTAATGCGCCAAAACCAAACGCAAAATTAACTGATAGAAAACTTGAAAGTACACCACGTGATAAAGTAAATTGAGCAATGCCTGAACATCCGAATAAAACAAGAATAGTTGTGCCGAATAATTCAGCAACACATTCAACTAATAGACGAAACCATGGATTATTTAATCTATTAGAATCCAAACGAATACCATCAAATATAGGACGTGGAACTATTGATGAAATAAAAAGCATAAATAAATGATTACTAATAAATCATTTCAGAATAATATAATAGACTAAATCTATTTTATGCATCAATGAAGAAAACATTTCCTCTTTCATGTTTGTAAATAATTCTTTTTTTATATAAAAACCTCAAAAATACTCAACACATAAGAAATAAAAATAGTAATTTACCCATATCAACTGTTGAGTTTATTTTCGGAAGTTCAGTACTATTTGATGAAGATGAATCACTTTTGCTGGTACTCATAGATGATTTGCGTCGACCACCTAAGTCAACTATTGCATGAATTGCACAAATTTCTTCTGTTTCAGTTTCATCTTTTTGTTCACTATGAATTTCTTCGTTAGGTGCCAGAAATACTTCACTTCTATCATCTACATTACGTCTATCTGGTATAGCGTTCAGCATTGTTTTTTAACGTTCAATAATGTGAGTCAATACCAAATGAAAATCAAATATGAATATATATATATGTATATAGAAAAGAAAGAATGATAGAATTATTCAAGCATGAGGCAAAAGAATAGTATAATATCTAACGTTACTCATCACGTTATTTTGAGCATGTGTTAGCTTTTGATGAACAATGGATAAAAGAAGAGGTTAAAGAGTAAACACAATATCATATCAATGGATGTATAACATAATAGTATTTGATTATGAATGAACAACCAAAATGATATTGACCCTATAAACTCCATGTTGATTTTATAATTAGCTTTTGTATTAGAAAAAAAAATCTTGATTTACTTTTTAATATCAATAAAGAAGAATTTAGACAAAGGTCAGTGTTTATTCTCTAGTACATAGATTATATAATAATGTTAAATTTTCATTTAAACAAAGGATCTATATTACAAGAACAAAAGGTACATGCAATTGTCATATGAAATAGTATGTGTCATTGAAAGTCAACATTATATAAGGTTGAACAATCGTCCTTAAGATAGAATATTACTTTAACAAATAAAGAAGTGACTCCTATAGATGAAAAAGAATGAATATTTTCATGTCATACAATTACTATATGTTAATACGTTAAAAACGTTTTTTTCATGATACTATCGATAGTAGAAACGAGAAAGCGAAAATTGATCGATACGAAAATTAGTCCGCACGAAAAATAACCGATATGTTTATTCTTGAGAATATATTTATTGTATAGATAACAACTACAACTGTATTCAATTAAACACATAAATTAATACGAACTACATTTAGAAGAAAAGAACAAGTCAGAAATTATGAGCAAGACTATCTAGTTGCATTAAAAGAGTAAGTAGTGGATACATGCTAAGATGACGAAGACGTGCACTATAGTTGATTGCATTAGAAAATGTTTCATTTACAGAATATTGTATGATTTATGGATTATTTTTCTCTATTTTTTTTATAGCATTATTTAATTTATTTATATAAACAAAGAAACATTCTCAGCTTGTTATTTTCGTTTCAATTAAGTCGATTATTCTCACGTAGACCAATTTTCGTATCGATCAATTTTCGTTCGATCATTTTTCGTAGACCCCGTGATTATATATTTAAAAAAAATTATATTTGAAATTAAAAAAGATAGCAACTATCTATTGTCAATTATACACGCACCTCTACATTTAGATATAAACAAAGTTTTCATGTTGTATGTTTTACAAATAATTTGCTAATTAATTTATTGCTCATAAGGTAGCGACAAGTCTTGCATTGTAACTTTTGAAAAATATACTCTGGTCTTATCACCCTGAATAATTATACTTAATTTCTACTCTTACTTTGATTGTATTTATCATTTCTCGATGAGAATAGAAAATAAATCATATAATTCATCAAAAACTATGAGTTTACGTTTAGTTTATAATAATAACTAAGGATGTCAGTTCTAACGACTTGAACCTGATATTCATCATAGAACAGTCTCTCATGGATTCTTTTCCAGTAAATTCCATCTCTTCATTATTTTTATCCATTTATTTGACTGATATTTTTATACAATATCTTTAGGCAAAAACGAAGTTTCATGATGTTTTTTTGCCTCCTAGAATGGCTATTGACACTAGTGTTCACTCAAACGTGACGAAGAATAATCAAGAATTATATTTTCAACAATAAGATCAAAAAATCTAAATACAATTGCTTATGTCTTACACTGGTAATGAGAAAGCAAACGCTTCAAAGTGGATATCTGATTTGTATTTAAAATTGTTCATATCATTCAAACAATTTCATCGAATAATCTAATTCTTTTTGATTATTAAATGTATATAAATATTCTATCTAGTATAAGATCTTCATTTTCAGCGATATACTAAATGATGAATGCAGTTCTTGCATTTTAATTATTGAAAAGAATAAATCCAATCATTCATTCATGTTTTTATCAAAGCGCAATCCTTCTTTTTCACTGTAAGGAAAGATAAAGATATATCGTATACAAAAGAAAAAAAAAATAGGAGAAAATATCAAATGACAATGACAGAAATATACAGAAAAAGAAACAATAAATAAGAACATATACATAAACAAGATATAAAGTATGTTTTTGTATCTAGATTAAACTATTCAACATGTAAAACCATGTGAAATACATAAATAAATCTTTTGTTTAAGATGCTTTATCAAGAGCGTTGAAAAGAAGTGATGATCGTTTAAGATGTTTATCTCTTTCCATAATGACTATTAAATCACGAAGATTTGCTTGACATTTACGTTTAACTAACCTCTATAAAAAAACGAAAATAATACTAAATAAATCATTCATAAGTAAAAACATACACATTTTTTATTGCTATTCATAAAACTCGACATAGTTGTTGGTTGATTAGAAGATATCCGTTCAGATTGATTGATATTTTCTTCAAATTTACGTTTTTCTCCTTTTCCAAAAGATAACATCGTTTCATTATTATTTTGTTCTTCCATCTGAGAACGTTCCGTCTATTACAAAATAAATCTAATAAACAAAAAAAATTTCTAACTAAATATTACTTGAGAAGAAAGAGCCGTTCGTTGTTGTGCAATTGTTTTAATACTTTCAATTAAACATTTAAGTCTTTCTTCAGTTGCATTTGAAATAAGTGCAAGAACAGAATCATCATGTAAAGTCATATTAATACCTTCCCATCGTTTATCTTTTTTAACTAAATGAAAAATTATGATCAGAAAAAAAAATGATTGATTGATTTTAATTACTCAAATGATCTAAACGTCGACGTAAAACCATTGTCGATAACAATCGATTATCATGAGTGATATGACGAGTATGACGATCATCGACAACTCCAGATGATGCAGTCAATAAACCACTATTTCCCAATATATCATCAGATGTATCATCATCATTTCTAAAAAAAGAAAATAGATTATTACATTAAATATATATGAAAATAACTAACTTAAGTGCTATTCTTGGTTGTAATTGAATTTGCGGTTGTTGTTGTTGAAGAGAAGAGATATTAGTTAATGATGTCTTTTGACCTGTAACTATATCTGTTCGAATAGGTTGATGATTAACAGTGATAATCTGTGGTTGTTGAAGTGCTGTTGATGGTGATAGAAATGTTCTTTGTAAAAATGAATCAGATTGTTGAATAATTGTTTGTGTAATTGGTTGAATTTGTGGTTGTCCAGTAAGAAGATTAGTATTCGAAGATGGAGAAACTGATGCAACAATTGGTCGAATTCCCGTTATACTCTAAAAGTATTATGCAGAGAAAATAAAATTGCACGAGAAAAAAAATCAATGAATTGAACTAACAATTTGTGCTCGAGCTTGTTGCTGCTGTTGTTGTTGTTGTCCAAGTAATGATGCGGTTGAACCAATTAATGATGATTGAGATGTTTGTTGTAAAAGATTAATTTTTTGTTGTGGTTGTACTGTTGTATACAATAATGGTTGTTGTACACCAGAAGTTGGTTGTTGACTTAAAAGTGATGGATTTACAACAACACGAGACGTTGTTGGTGTTGTTGAAATATTACCAATTGTATTGCTTTTATTCGATGGTAAATTTAATTTTTCTAATAATTCGATAGTTATTGGTTGACCAAAAGTATTTTTAACAATTTGACGCATATATGGCAATGCTAACTACAATAAATAAATAATGTTTGTTTCTAATCATTTATAACGTTATTTCACATGAATTATATAATTTCATCTCATTTCTATTTATTCCTACGGTTTTTTTCCCAATGATTCATACTTCCTAAATATTCATTTTCGAAGAAAAATTTTATCAAACTGAAATATTTGGAAGGAAAACGAAACATGGAATATTCCAAGAAAGATAAATATCTAGAGCTAGTAACCAATAAAATAACTGGATTTTCCGAGGATGATGAACTAGTATGAGAAAATTTAGTTCATTCGATCGATTATTGATGAATGAAAGATTTTAATATCATGATAAAACATTAATAAGAAATTTACTTTGAAAAATGGTACAAGTGATGTATGTGGTTGTGATTTGTAAAGTGTATGTAATCGTTGTGTAAATGATTCTGGATCAATTGTTCCTTCTAAAAGATCTTGTATACAAGATCGAACCATAGGTAATTTTTCTGGTGCTTGTTTTTCAGCAAGTTTAAGTAATGTTGTTAGAAATGTTCGACATTTTCCAACGAAATCACTTATTTGAGCATCAGTAAATTTCGGAGCTTGTTGTGGTGCTACTACTGTTTGTCGAACAACTGGTTGTGTAACAACTTTAGTTGGTAAAATAGAAGATTGTTGTTGAAAACCAGGTGTCGTTGGTTCTAATAAAAGAGAAAAAAAAAGAATTGTTTTTTTGTAAATTCATTTTCTAATAATCTTACCATTTTTTATTGTTGGTGAATATTGAACTTTCGGTGATAATTGTGAAGTATTATTTGTCCAAACAGTATGAGGTTGATATTGATTTTGTGTTTGTAATGGTTGATTAAGACGAACAATACTTGTAGGTGTTGTTATTGTTCCACCAGATAATTGTTGTTGTTGAATAAATGATCCATTTTGTATATTTGTTTGTCGAATATTTTGTGTTGTATTACCAATGTTATTTATAGTTAAATTATTATTAGCTGATTGAGTAAATAATAATGTTGTCTAGGAAGAAGAAAATTCCTAGTTAAATATAAATTTTCTTTCTAAATTGACTTACTGGTTGTGGTAAGACTTGTAATTTGTTATTATTAGAAAAAGGCGATGGAGAAGATGTCATTGATAAGAACTAAAGAAAACGAAAAATAAATTGTAAATTACAATAATCAATAAAAAGACAACATTAATATGAATGTTTAAAAAAATCAATGATGCCTTGCAGAGTTACGGTTGTTTAAAGACAACTATAATGTACGTATGACGACAATGGATGAAGTTGTATAACCAATAGAAAAATAAAATTTAATAGATGGCGCTAACTGACAATTCAATAATCAAACGTATAGGAATTTCCCAAACAGTATATTTATGATGATGCTTTTTTTTAATACAATTATTATCAATGAATATCAGTCTGACACTTAAAAATCTCTCATGTTTCGATCAAATCGAAAAGAAAAAGGTTCAATATTACTTATATTTCAAACTATACATTGTTCTTAATTACCTACAGAATGATATATTCAACACTTTACATTGATTATATCTAAAGTGAAAATATTCCTGAGAGTGTGAACATTAAAAACACTTTACGAGGAAATATAGTTATTTATATCTTGAGTAACTGACCATTACCAGTTGCTACTCGGGCAGACAACATCTTCAAAGAAAAACGAGTTCAAATAAGAAATTGTTAAAATATCGTTTTAATGAAATTTGAATGCAAATTAACGAGTTCAGCATGGATGAACTCGTTAAAATGCGTCTATTATTCTCCTCAATTTACCCGTTTCTACTAAATTTTTTTGCAGTTTCTACTAATTTTAACGTGTTCATGCTGTCACATACGTGCTTTGACGTTAATGTTTAACTCATTCTTTCCAGATTTTTCAAAACAAATTGAGAGTATTGGTGTGTATGAGATAGAATAAACGTACCCATACCCACCCTCAAGATGTGTCTGATTCATTTGAAGTTTTCTTGCTTTCTACTATCTACAGTTAGACGATCGTAGACGATATTTTTTTAAAGAATAAAATGTAATTTATTATACACGGTTGGATGTGTTCAGTTGATCGTCTAAGTACATTGAACTATTAGAAAACATTACATATTAAAATAATTTTATCAAACTATCCAGAAACCAACTCTATCAATCAGAGTACAGCGAAGTCTGCCAGGAGCCTCATCGTAAGATCTAATCAATTCTTTGGGCTCGACAATTAAAATCCAATTGATGGGGAATTCAGCAAACTCACTAAAGGAACCAGTCGAAATTATTTAAATCCTCCAAGGTTCGACCGAATATGAATCTCACGAAATGTTTTGTATGCTTGCCTATCCTGTTCCTTTACAAAGACATCACAAAAGGCTTGCAAACTAATGAAGGAACATAATCATGGAATTATATAATTTAGTCTCTATCTTTGGACCACACGTAGATCTCGATGAGGTTCAAACAATCAAGATATTGATCAAAACTCAGCATTATGATTCTGCTCGACATCTTGACTTCTACGAAAAACGTAAAGGTACGAATACTT